CTTTTTTATCTCAGCTTAAGAGTACTGATTTTAACAAAAAGAGAACCTAATGATGAGACAAGTTTACCTAGCATCAATAATAACTAACTGGAGAATGTCTCATACTCGTTTCAATCAGGAGGTGCCATACCCACCATATGAAGATAACATCAATAGTGGAACAAGTGACCATTTCTCCTTATCCAAAGCAATTGCAAGGGGTTCCAAGTATCTGTAATGGTATCCAGAAAATTATGTTGGATTACATCACTAGAAATATAAATTCAAAATTTAGCCTTGAATAAGTAGAAAATGATCGTTTTCATTTACTCTCTCATAACCCACACGCTACTGTACTTCCAACTTTAGGCAACTTAATGCCATCCCTTTCTAAGCCAATTCCACTATTTATTTCACTTCTAAAGTTACCAACAACCACACCGACACTCTAAGCTTTATTAGCCTTGAAGAGATAACACATTAAAGGAGGGATCCACTTACCCATAAATTTTACACATTACGTTTACACAAAATCTTGACTATTCATCTCTTTACTTTCAATGGTTGAGATTAATCATGATTTTTTAAATGAAAAAGAGAATTATCTTTAAAATGAAGAGATGAATGGTTGAGATTTGTGTAAGTATGATACGTAAAATTTGTGTGTAAGTGAATTCCTATTCAACACATTATGAATGTCTAAAATATATATATATATATAGGTTAAATGGTTACAGAAGCAAATCTGGCAATTAGCACCTCAAGTAAAACCTCTATGGAGTGTGATATAGTAGCTAAAGGAAGAGAGTCATAACCATCTTCTCACGACAACTGGTCCCATTTTCTCTCAACAAGGAAGCCAACACGATGCCTTTCAAAAATACAAAAGGAGGAAGCCAACACTATTGTCTTTTATGAAAAGTAAAGGCAGAAATCAAATAGGAAACATACTCAGTCGCTAGAAATCCATCTGTCAATCAACCAAAGAAAATAACTTGCCTTTGATAGTCACCTGTTTTAAATGCAACCTATAACATAAAAACATAATAAGACTGACATAGAATTGTCACCATGAAGCCACAAAAGAATCAAAATAAAGACCACCCAGCATTTAGAATTCAGCTCCAAGTCTCCAAAAACCAGCAGTTTGAAACACATTATCAGCTAAGCAAACAAAACACATCTTAAAATCACAAACGAATCAAATTAAAGCGTGCCTATTAAAAAATCTCATAACAAATACTGACACTTACCTGAAAACTCAAATTGAAAGGTCCACAGTAGTTGGAAACCCAATTTTAAGATAAAAGAAGTAACATTTTAGGATAAAAACAATAAGAAATCAGAGATTCATGTGCGACCTGAATGGGTTTTGGCCCACACTGGAATAGCATACAAGGAACTGGTTCTTGCCCTTGATGGGTCCTCCAAAATCGGCGGTTCCCATGATGGAGACAAAGCTTTTAGGCATTTTAACGCTGGAGGAGCAGTCAAAGCTGCCCCGGACAATGCCGGAAAACCAATAGAAGTTGAAGAAGCTGCTCGAGGACGAGTAGCTGACGGGGAGGAGAAGGAAAGCAAGGTGTTCATGACAGTGGATACGATTTAGAGATTCGCCAACATTCAAGATTAAAGGAACGAGTTTTGAGGATCTGTGATGAAGACGTCGGAAGAATTGGAGAAGAAGATCGGAGGTATTGATGTAACGTTACTCCGGGAAGTGACAGAAAGGCGCCGGCAACTCCCTAGAGGTTGAATTCACGTTCCAGCAGACGCGCGTGGTTGAAGTTTTAGGAGCAATATATTGCACATATTGGTCCATGATCTTTTAAGAATAGATAAATTTGATCACAAACATTTCAAGTTTTAAAACAGATTCCTGTGTCAGTAAAATGGTCCATCTAGTCTGTCGGTAGAGATTGCTTTTTTCTTTTGGCTCAATTTTTTTTTTTTTACAAGGACAATAATTAAAAGTTAGTATGTTAGAAGTGTTAATAAAAAATATTAAACTTGAAACATTAGAGTGCAAATTACATATTGTCTTTAAGACAGCAAGTGACCACTAACCACGGCACGTGGAATGTCTTTTGGCCAATTATTGGTAGATATTGTTTGGTTTTTTGTTCTGTATTTCCTTTTTTTTTTTTTTAAATGGGTGTCGGCAGATAATGTTTTGTTTTGATAAAATTGACTCATCCAAAAATAAAAAAATTCAAAAAAAGTGAAAATTAATTTTGACATTTTAAATGTTAACACTATTGTAAAATTATTTGAACATGGTTAATAAACTTTTTGTTTAAATGCCAACCCTTTTTCTTCTCCAATAAAATATGAAAGTTAATTATAATAATATTTAATATGTAATTATTAATTAATAAAATTTCATACTTATTTTGGATAAATACATCAAATGCATTTTCCTCATAAAAAAAAAACATCAAATGCAATTGTTTATTTTAATATTTATTGTCATAAAAAAATAGTGTGATTTAATGGAAAGACTTCTAATAGTGAACACCCTATTTATTTCATTCATGAGTACATATTTTGCATTCTAAAATAAGTTAAGTTATAAAATAAAACATTTTATTATCAACTACTTAAATAATTCAGTAGTTATACGAATGTGATAGAATGAGAGATAAGAGATAGTTATTTTTTACTATACAATTAAGATAAAAACAAATACTTTTCTGTGCGGACATGTTTTATGGTTGATAGAAAGTTATTATTGTGATTTGTGATTTATGATTAGATATTAGTAGTACAAATATTCAAATCCGACACCAGAATCAAACTAAAGAAAAGAAGCAATATAATTGAGCCCCGTGAACATTTCCTACAAGCACTTGTCTGCGTCATCTTACACACAGAGCATTCAACAGGACATGGCCCAACATGAGATCAACAAAATACTGGTGTCCAATCTTGCCATCTGCCCATACGGCCTTCACCGGAGCCCTACCATAATGTTGTCCCTCGTTACACCGGTTATCAAAATGCCACGGAAAAGTCATGTCAAAGTCGTCGATCACGCCGGAAACTAGCCCTACTTGTTTCAATTTCTCCAAGAGTATACCATTAAAAGCCTCCATCTTGCTAGGATTAGCGGCCAAAGATCGTGCATATCCACCGGTTGCAATTGTGGTCCGGTAAAGAATCTGTGGCATTGCCAACCCTCTAAGCTTCACTGATTCCACGACTTCTTTCCAAAATGATGCTGCATACTCTGCCCCTTCAGAGAATGAGTTTACACTAGACCAGTGAAACCCATCATGCAATCCAGAGTTCATTATGACGGTGTCCGGGACAGTGTCCTCTGAGAAGTACTTGTTCAATAAATCCCTAAAACCTGCATTCTTCAAAGATTCCAACCCCAATAAATTGTCTGAATCATTCCAATGACCGTTGAAGATGTTCGTGATTCGAACTGTTTGAGAAGGATCTTTTGGGTTTGAGTAGTTCAAATCAAACCTCCTTGGTAAATATCGTATTTCAGGCTGATCCAAAACGAAATTCAGCATGTTCCTGATTGTGTCCTGGTGATTCGAATCACCCCAGAAGAAAATCCACCGATTCTTCAGGCAATTCCAAGCAGAATCAGCTGTAAACAAAATGAATGAACAATGTGCAGAGTATACCCAGCCATTACTCTCTAATACACCTAATGCACCAGTGCACCATGGATTCTGACATGGAAATTCCGGTGGCAGGCATCGGAATCTACCGTCATCACTAATTTGACAACTGTCATTCCTTCCATGTCTTGTCCACCGGCCGGACCAAACATCTGTACTAAAATCAGATTTTTGACAAATTTTCAGCTCAGGCAATAGTGCATTAGTTTTATAGAACCTGATTCCTACATGGCGTAACTCTTTAACGTATGCAAATTGGTCTGTGGATAGTTTCAGACCCTCAAAATGCCTAAAAAGCAAAATTAAAGAAAGATTATAGTAACCGACAAAATCTGGATGAACCTGTAGCGCAAACGAGTAAGAACCATTGCCAAAATCTTTCACTGGTGGCCGAGATTTCCATGATTCGCCTGAAAGATCAGTCTCGAAGTAATCTCCACCCAAGCAGCGTGCATTACCTGATGTGTCAAGCGCTTGGAAAACAAACTCGTAGATTTCCCCAGCTGCTAACTCCACCGAACCCTTACCATCCAAACCAGGAATAGCAACCTCCACTGTGGGAGAATTTCTACAGGGCTCCCCTTCCGGAGCATTCAACCTAGCAAGAAGATTTGTTGTGAAGTTGGCCTCCATTTCAGCTGAAATCCACTTTAACAAGTGTGTTTGATTCTGTTTGACATTTCGCAAGAACATGCTGTTCTCTGAAATGATGGAGGCAAACTGGGTAGTCTTTTCTTCATTCTTGTTCAAATCATCTGGAACTTGGGTAATGTTAAAAGTGGGATTTTGAAGGTTCTGGGAAAGAATTTGTGGTGTTTGAGAGAAATTGGTGAGTGTAATATTCATAATTTTGTACCCTTCCTTGAACCTCCATGACAGTATACAGCTCTCAACGGTGAAGCCATCTATGCTCCAAACAACCACCATACAAACAAAAACCAAAGCTGTGAGCAAACCAAGCGGCCATTGATGCCAAGGACTCGAACGAAGACTCCACAGTTTCAGCCATGGAGATTTGTATACTCCCTCTTTCTCCGGCATCTGGATTCTGAAAACTCAGTGCCTGCACAAAAGCAGCTACATTAACAAATAAC